AACTGTACCCTCTTGGGGACAAAGCCTGCTGAGCAGCTTTGACGGTCGTGGTTTGCAAGAATTGATCACTTCGCCTGAGACAAATCGATGACTTGTGTTTCCTCAGATGTCTATCCGCTGTATCCAGCTCCGATGCGACCTGCTTTGGACAACGGTCAGAAGTGCCTGGTATGGTCATGTTGACCAGACAATACTCTGCCTTGGAGATTGACCAACCAGAGTTTTTGAAGCTTAATCTGCAGTCCTGCTGGAAAATGCACGATGCTGGATGCGGACGTGATAATCGGTTTGCAGTGGAACTCTCAGAAACGTCTCCGACGCGTAGGATACACCATCTGCGAGGAGTAATGAGGATCAGCGTAGGCATCTTTCATCAGGTCTGATCCAATCACGGGAACACGGGCAAGTGTGATAGACAAAAGCATAGTTTCGGCTGGGTGCGGAGCACCCAGAAGCAGAAAATACGGTGCTGGTTATTATCCCCTCGCCATAATCTGAGACTTATCTGTAATTGACGCTGATGTCAACATTTTGGCAAAGCAATCGATGATCATTTCTTATGAAGGTATATGCTCTCCTCAACCCGCCGAGGCTGTTATTAGACTGGGACTTCCTAAGGTCACAGTTAGGGGCTTGTCGTTGCTTGAAGTTTGTGCCTAGTGTGCGAGTTTTGACTGTGTAAGCGCCTATTGCGCCTTGTTTATCATTGTTTGTTCTTTACCACATACTCTATTTCAATCAGCAGTTGGCTTAACTTCGGGATTTTTTTCTATTTTCAGCCGAAAGATATTATTTTGCTCTGATGGATGGACACCTTGCCGAAAAGCGCACGCTATCTGTGTATGATCCGCTTGTAAAAATGTGAACCAAGCATCAATATTTCGGCTCAAACCAATCACCGGATATCAGNTCAGTTAAGTACATGGCATTCCTGCTTGTTGTCGTTTTCAATCGATGATTGATTTACACCGCAAGATATGTCAGACGATAAATCAGACGATAAAAGACGATAAATGAATCTTCGCAAGTCACATTTCTGGGAGCGGAATTCCGTCCAAAATTCAGTGGAAGTCAAAAGTGCCATGATTTCGCAAGAATGTGCCATATTAGGAGGAATACATTCATTTGCATACCAATTTTGGCTTTTGCCGGAGACCTATCCGAAACTCAGCTGGATTTCTAGTTTATAATGAGCCCCATAAAGAGTAAAACCAGCCGTGGGCTGTCGAAGAGCTTATGCATAGTGTATCATGTCTATAGATGTATTATATTTGTTATCATTGATGGACGGCTTCTCAGGATATTTATGACGTGTCTCCTGTATATGTTTCATCTCGTCTAATGGAAGAGTACGTGTTTTCTATAGTATTATCCACCAAATTTAGTACGAAATTTATATTCACTAAAACACGATAAACGTCAGGAAGCATTTCTTCCGATGAACACTACTTTTCACTCCTTCTTGATACAATCAGTAGAAAACAACTTCAAATTCAACCACATGCGCATTCTTTCAACCGACATCTTGTGACATACGCTGCGATTTCATTCTGATATCTTGTGTTCACCCGTGAGATCGTGAGATCGTGACGCGCATGAAACGAACGACATTCAGGAGTATCATTGTCGTTAAGCTGTGTTTGTTGCAGCCTGAAAAATCCAGCTTATATCTTAAACTAAAATGGTTTGGTCGTGTGGCTATGGTATGGCTATAGTACATTCAACCCCTGCAATTACTTGCCATATGTATTCATCTTACTTATAGTGCCACTGAAAGGATGCATAACCCCCCCCCCCCCGCGCTCGAAACTGAGGATGCTACATAAGACGAACCAGGGCCCGGGGACCTTTGCAAGCTCCTACTAACCTGTCATAACATAAATTAGCACATGCTTAGTATTACAAAGCCTTGCAACGCTGATTGTCTCCCTAGTTGACTTAATAAAGCAGATCAGTTGCGCACTCAATCATTTTAAATTTGATTATTCCGGGTTTTAGAGAGTAGCAAAATTGAGCGCTCCTATGATTCAACAATTACTTGTCAGATCATTTTTCTGCATCACTTTTACAACTGGATTATAAAATTTTACATCCTAAAGTGCATAGCATTTGAAATACAGAGGCATCAAATAAACTTCTTCATCCTAAGAACCTGATAAAATACGGGTGAGTAAATAGGTATGCGGCCATTTGCTTTACACAACCCTTTACGAATAGGCATACTGCTGACCTAAGAATGGTTACCAAAGCCACTTCTCAAATTGCAGTCATGGTAATGTCGCTCTCCTATGACTTTCGCTTGATTCAGTTTTGAAAATCTATCTTGGACCGGTTGCTGAAGTCATTCATCGAAGTTGCACAAAAGAGGAACGGCCATTTCACAGAATAAGCAATTTATTTGGAGATGCCTACACATCAGATGTCAAATGAACACTCGGAATAAATCACAGAACAGCTACATAATTGTAGTAGATAGAATGACTGCATGCGGCACATTGGCCTCAATGTACACACCAGTGTAAAAATTTGAATGTCGGCTCTTCACTCAACACCAGCTTTGCGACGTGGTACACTTCTTTCTTAGCTTTCTTAGCCAATCGTTAGGTAAATTGGATAAATGGAGGTTAAATTCCCTATGAAAGAGTCCGTTTAATCAAAACTGTGCGTTGTTTCCAAAATTATACCATGATCACCTCCACCTTACTTGCAAGCACCATATTACCAACTGGTGTGAATGGGGTGATTTATCCAGTTGACTCCCCCGTGACATTCAGGACTTGGCTTTCTGTACAGGACGTGCGTAACAGTACAGCAAACTTGCTGCCCTGGTAGTAGTTAATGTGGGCTTGTGCAGCCGTTCAGGAAACATCCCATATGAATTATCCGCTAGCTAAAATGGCCTGTATTAGTAGGAGTTAGTCTTGTAGGAAACCACTGAAAAGCCCTGAACTTCCTTAAATACGCCCTCAAGTTTACTATCTAGGACGTTTCTATCCTGCATCTTATAACGAAGGATCCTCCATCCAAAATTCCTCAGTTCATGCGTGTGTGCCTTCGTCGTCTGTTTCAAAAATATCCACCAGCCGCGGTGTTCGTGAAAGATATTCCAATGATTCTCCTCCATAGAACTTAGAACTGAGAACTACACATCCGGACTCCGACTTTATGGTTACTCACCCGTCATCTCATGCGATGGTAAGTCAGTCACCAGTTGATCACCCAGCGTTAACGTAACGTATGTCCAACAGAACGAATAAGCCGTCCAATATCTGTCCAGCTGACTGTTACACAATCTTAACTCCGTTTGAACAAACTTATTTTATTCAACACATAGACTGAGGGATTCAGTCAGTCCTGAGGTTTGAAGTGCCATCAACACATGGTCGTCTGTATTGCTCCATCAGAGGATTCACTTTCACAAGCTTGGGAAACTTCTACGAGCTCTTTCGAAAGGCCTCTCCCAAAGTTAACCAATATGCCGACAAATGTAGGTCAGAGTGAGAATGTTAAAATGAGCAAGATTAGAAACGGCATGTATGTGTAAGGCGCACGGGAGTAAGCTGAACAAATTATGCATAATAGGGTCACTCACAAAGGTAGAGAAGATAAGAAAACTGCCTAGACTACGGATGTTGTATTAAAGTAATGACTTACCCTATTCATCTTTAAGGGGTGAATGTTGGGTATGGGCATGGGGTTGTGTGAAGAGATGTCTTGCACGGTTCTTTGAGGGCAAATCATAACAAGCGAGCCGCTTAACTGGGGATGTCCATCTAGGCGCTCTGGAAAAGACGTCGTCTATAGGATAGGAACGACGTCCGCAAGACACAATTGCAAGATACACACTTTCGTGGGCAGAATTCTCATCTTATGCCTGATAACCGCTGTCCTTGCCCAGGAAAAAACTCACAATTACATCAGAGTACAAGCCAAAATGAAATGTTTGCACAAGTTTACTACCACAACAAACGAAAACCCAGTAAGACGATGGTTGCTGTTGCCACTACTGCAGCTCAGGGGATCTATTTCCGAAACTACATTTTGAACTCATTGCTATAAAAGATCCGTCATGCCAAATAAGGCCAGATAATCGTTACTGGATATCAGCCGACTTTGCAGAAACTAATCGGGCTTCGTATAGTGGTATGTCAGGTCCACTTTATATGCTGATGCATTAAATAAGCTGACTGACCGTCGAAAATATTTCACTTCGTCAGCAATCGAGGAAATACCGTTACTGCTTGATAGCACGTGTGATTGTTCTTTTTCTGACGATTCATTTATAGATCATTCAAGTACTTGATAACATTGGGCTGGTTAGACGGAAGTGTGGAATTTTCCCTGAAATATTCCTTGTATTTTTTTCGAAAGGAGATAAACGGAATTACCATCATATACTGAAACCAACGACCATAAGAATACCTTGCAAAATCTTTATCCGCCCAAAAATGTAGCACTCGAAACTGATGGAAAAACTGCTGGTAGTTTTGATGGTGGAAGGAGGAGAACACCTCGCTGTGAAGTCTCTATTAACAAACACCAAACAAGCAGTTACAAGCAGTTGGACAGGAAAGTAAACGTCTCATATGCACATAGCATTTAAAAACTGAACGTTCTCATGCATCTTCTGGAACGTTAATAGATATTCACTGACCATATTATTATCATTTATTTTTGAAGAACATGGTCACAAACATAAAAAGTGAGTGCAAACGATGAATGCGAAAGAGTAACAGGAGAATATGGGAGAAAAGAGAGTAACCTCCCATTCGAAATCATGCCAAGGACAGTGCCAGTCTGATGAGGTGCATCCCAAAGTATGTAAAGATTTTGGTATGGGAACACGCGTCTAAGGACCAACAACCAAAGAAGGGACAAACAATCGTGAATGCTCTTCAAGGCGCAGTGTGCGCTAGCACAGTCAAGACTCCAACGTCGGGCACAAAGGGACCGTCATATTGGGTCTGGTGTGAGAAAGTGTGTGAGGCAAAAATGTACCTTCAACGCCATGTGCCACGCATAAAATTGTCATAAGTATGCAGAGAGCCCACAATGGCAAGCAAACACAAGTCACTGACCGCGACCTTAGGAAGTCCCAGTCCAATAACAGGCTTAGCGGACTGAGGAAAGCAGATCCCTCGATAAGAGATGATCATCGGTTGGTGAACCAAAAAGTCGATATCACAACCGATGGCATGTAGGGCTGAGATTATGGCGAGGGAATGTTCATCAGCACCATACTTCTGCTTCTTCTCATTCCACACTATCACTCCACGCCCATCCGAGACTATGCTGACGTCTATTACAGTTGCACGGCGATCTCGAACAGCGATTAGGTCAGGTTTGATGAACGACGTAGAAGTAGGGGCTCTCAACTCCTCGAAGACGGTGTACCCCAGTCGACGGAGACGTTTTGCAAGTTCCCTTGCAACCCGATTATGACGAGCACATCTGGCATCATGCGTAATCCAGCAGGATTGCAAAATATGCACCAAACTCTCCGGTTGGCCACAGTTTCCACGACATAAGATCGTCTGGCCACCATGACCATGCCGAGCGCTTCTAACTCTCGTCCTAAGCAGGTTGCATCGGAGCTGGATTCCGTGGATGAATATCCGTGGAAACACTCGTTCTGGGAACACCAGCCATCGATTCGAGAGAGGCGAAGTGACCAACTCTCGTAAACCGCGACCGTCAGCGCTGTTGTGCAGACGAGTACTCCTAATTAAGCTCCACAAGTTCCGTAATAAAATTCATCTTCCATTAGACACGGGGCGGAGCTTCGATATGACCACAAACTACTCGCATTACTCATCGGTAGTATAAGTTGCTACAGAAGTAGTTGGCTGGTAGCATTTTGAAACTGCAAATTACGCTGTTCTCTGACTAATTATTGATTTGGCTCGGTACGTAAACCAAGAGAAGCTGGTTTGTTACAAACTTGCATGGACAAAGCCATGTGATATCTGTTGTCGTACTCAACAGGGAGTAACAGATAGAATTATACGTTGTAAACACCCACCAGTAAATGAATCGTGAACAGATGAACGTTAAATAGCTTTGCAATCAAAGCGTTTTACTGACTTCGGGAAAAAGGAAAGTTTTAGAATTTAGGGTTCAGGTTTGGCAACGTTATCGGCATAGGCTGGCAAACATTAATCTTCCCCATATATAAAGGTGAATTTAGTGTCGATGGTGAATTCTAAACCTATTTGGTTGAAATTTTGAGTCTGCTTTAACTGCTAAGGGCGCGTTATAGCTTCATCTACTACCACTAAGCTACTTTTTCCCCGCAGATGGGCAAATAAACAACCAAAGTTGCTTACTGATGAAAGAGATTGTACGACATCATATAATAACTGGTAAAAAAGAATACTCCATCCTTTGAAGTATGCACTGAAAATTAAATTCCTCAAGTGAGCAATCAAACAGAGAGTTTTGAACACACAAAAATATTAGAGCTTGTTGAGTGTTGAGTTGGTTTCATTTCTCGTTAGCACGTTCATTGAGCTGCGGAATTCACTTCCAAACATCTCGTTGTCATTCCTGTGGGCATTAAAACTGCACCGACTGGCGCTTACGCACTATATCTAACAGGCAACATCCTCGAGTTTACAAACGAACTGGAGGTCAACTTATACCTTGATGGTTTATTGAGGCTTGTTGAGTGTTGAGTTGGTTTCATTTCTCGTTAGCACGTTCATTGAGCTGCGGAATTCACTTCCAAACATCTCGTTGCATTCCTGTGGCAATATGGTGTCAAAAACCTTGTTTTAATCGAGCTCTTCGCCATGTAACTGAGCCTTTTGTGTTAGTGTATTTTTGAAATCTGTTCATCATTTCGACAGGGTTTATGAGAGAGTTGAGTGCGGAAGCGTGGTTCGCTCTCTCGTCATTTTTAATCTATGTTCTATTCTTAGAGTTGTTGTGCGCTTTCTTTTGCAAAGTTTCCTCAATTCTGGATACCGTACTGAGCGATGAAATTAATCAAAATGTGTTTACTTATGTCGGTGAGTAACATACTTCCACAAACATGCGTCTACTTCCTACTTTAGTTCGCACCTGACATTACTGCCGCTGGACTGATATCACTCTTGAACATCGTATACGGGGACCTATCTATAGTTTTTCCTAACGCGTGCGTAACCCGCATTCAACATCATACTGAAAAGCCAACAATCTATGTATAGGTGTTTTATCCTCATCGAGAATCATCACCAGAGCGTACCTCATGAAACTCGAGGAACTGTCAAATCCGAGACCTTTGGGCCAGTACATTGATCACGTAAACCTTCAGCCACGAGCCAATAAGGAAGAGTGAAAATTGTCACATGAGTGAAACCTCTATCTCAGAAGTCGTCGCTTGAGGAGTGTCGTATACTACAGTTTTCCTAATGCCTTCCTAATAACGTGAACCAGAGTCTGGATAGCCGCTTGATATCCTGATGCGTCTAATCAGCGGCTAAAATACTGCTGATGTCAAACAAACTCACAAAGCACAATCTACCTAAAGCATTACTTAGAGATAAGATCGCAGTTTTTTAGTCTATCCGTGACGTGAAGCAATCGTTACTACAACATATTGACTGGATAACTTTCAATAGCTGAAATTATATCTCATTCGCTCTACGTAACGTTTTTGGCACTATAGATGTCCAGCAGCCCAATGAAATGTGCAAGTTGCAATTAGAATCCGAATCGTCCTTATTCTTGAAACGGTTGCACCATAGATAAAGGACAATCTCTGACAACGGATAAACGCAGTTATACCAAACTCTGAGTGGCTGTTCCGTGCAACTCCTTTTCAGGTTAAGATACATGATACTCAAATCTCAAATAGTCTTCCTTGTTCTGTCAGCATTCCGTCACCGAAAACCGTAAACTCGAACTCATAAAGTTTCGAATACCGTGATAGCATGCTCTTCTCGCCATTCGTTTGTCCCACTGTTCAATTTGACGCGCTTTCTGGCTATAAAACTCTCCGGTCATCGACATAATTTGCAAACCGAAAGTAGTCCCAAATGTGTCTGCGATTTGGCATTGAACTAGAATGGGGTTGATGAAAACTATGAGAGTGTGACTATCAGGTGGGTTCGAAGAAAAAATAAAAGCAGTAATGACTATTGCTAAGCAAAAGTCATTCACTAATCAAAATAGCTTGAAAATGGCTCTTGCTTCTTAAGCACAGGTCCGACCTCCATGGCACGGGATGGGTGGAGACTAACCCGTTTGTCAGTAGTAATCTTTTTCGATTTAATTCACGAGACTTGTGATTGAAGGTTTCACCGCTCGCCCTTCGGTGATTCATTCTTGTTGATGCATTCACAATAAAAGCTCACCAAACGGAACAGCTACCGCATCCATGACCGGCTGTGGACAGTTTTCCCCGGAATTAGCCCTCACTTGGACATTTGCACAGACCTCTGATAGTATCGAAACCAGGCGACGTAGTACGCAGAAGCAGCACAGTAACAGGCGATGTTGGGAAATTTTTATCCAGTCATAAAAATTTACAAAGCTGCTGAAGTGTTCTTTGCATATTTTTATTGTGTTCTTGATGAAACCCACAACAGCCTACTGAAAAAAGTTTATCATCGGTTAATCGTTTCTTTGGACAGAAAAGTGTCTCCTCTGTAAGCGGACGATAGCCAAAAGCTAGAGGCCTGGTACTTTCGGAGAATATAGAAAGCATTCAAATACGTAAATCGAGAGATTGTGAGTTTCAAAACTGAGGGTAAGTCCTACCACGTTCGTTTTTATCTTCCTGAACGACGACATCTACAATGTATTTTTCATCTATCATTCAAGAAATCTTCACACTGCAGTTCATTAGCCCCGAATCATGTCTAGGATAACACAATCGCCCGAGAGATAAAGCTTGATGGATAACCAAAAGTGATTTGAAGCAAATTTTTTCACGTACTCTGAAGAATTCTTTACTTGGACCAGCGCTTCTTCACTAGTAGCGCTGATTCAGCGACCAAACGTCGCCTGTAGACGCTTCAAAAGTTGGCTCGTCTTAGTGCAGGCTATTACCTTACAGCGTGTCTGTGATTCACTATTAAATCTAACTGGTAACCTTGATATGTTCCTCTTCTCATTTACTTACTCCGTCTGCGTGTTGACCGATTGCTGGTACTCACCAGCGACCTTGCTCCATCGGCTGCTCCCGACACCAACATGCTCAGGTGCACATGTGTGTCAGTGCGTCAAACTCGCTGTTCATCTCACGGCTCTTTCTAACATACCATGCCATGACCTCCGGGAATAAATAAAATCATGAGAAAGATCTTGGCTAAGACCATCGGTTACCCCTCCCCCACCCGATGGAGCCACAATTCCTCCCGCCTTTATCTGTTCTCCGGACTTTGATACTACATTTTTCGAGTCAGTTCTAGACAGCGCGAATGTTAAACCCTCAAGCGCCGGCAAGTGAGTTGCGGTTTGCATACGTTTACTCGTCAATGAATAGCAAACTGGATATTCCAAACTTCATTTTAATATATTCAGGTTCTGATAACTTGTGCTTGGCACAACCTGCGGTGTCAGATGCTCAACATGCATTTGCAGCAATGTTCTATAAATTTAGACCTTGTTAATTTCCGCTCATCATCGACTGACATCGTTAGAACTAATAAAACCTGTTGTATAGTTACCAACTGATGACAGCTCATAAAAGCCAACGTCGGTGTGATCCACTGGAGTAGTTCACTGTCCCATCAAATGCATAAATTAATGCAAGGTTTAAACAAACATATTTTGTAAGCAAGTCAATAACCACCAGTTCTTAGTACAAACAGTTCCGGTGCTCTGGAGTTTTGCTGTTCTGCAAACGCCTAAAGTTTCCGAGGCATTCGTCAAATCTGAAAGCCTTGGTTTAGTGGCCTTTGGCAGTACAGTCTTTCCTTTATAAATGCGGTTACTCAGCCTTCCCTTACCTTGTGTTGTGTTATCGTGAGACATCACTTCATGATCTTAAAGTCTTCAAGGCCAGGCATCAGAAGCAAGTGCGAACACGTATCAGCACAAAATAGGTCACCGAGCGATTTAATTGGGTGGAAATTATCACTGTGATCCGTTTGCAGGACTGAAGGTTTGTAAACTGTATACATAAGGATTTGTAAATAAATAGAAAAGCAGTTAGTGAACAAGCCAGAGCAAATATGTTGGAAGTAGAGAACATCTCAATTCGTATGAATTTCTAAAAGTACATTGAGAAGTCCAACTTGTAATTTCGTTCTAAAATGACTATTCCCTAGTCGAAATTTCGTTGAAAACACAACAGTGACAGTTCATGACCTGCTGTTGTAGCGGGTTTAGAGGTGTTTGTTTTTCAGAAAACCTGACTCCATTCGCCCAGGGTCATATCGCCTGACCGGCCTTATATGCAATGATATTTATGTAGAAAAATTATTTTCGTATACCATGGTTTTGCTCAGCCTATTCCACGAGCAGCCTTGATCATACGTATTTAGTTAAAGACTACGACACACAGGATTTCCAACTTGATCCCGACCGAATCGCCACGTTTACGCCAGTCCGTAATCATCCCAATAGTTCATTCATCGTCACTTACTGTAAGCATAACCCGCTGATACTTATAAGCAATGGGTTGGAAATCCACATTTCATACCAAAGAGCTCACACACGCAACTATATTACGCTATGTGCACCTCGCAGGAAAGTGCAACTCACTAGGGGTATGCAAAGAACGCATATTTCCCCGAGTGAATTGAATTAACTGCCCCCAGAATAGCCTACAGATGTTGTTGTCCTGTGTACGATAGCAGGCTCATGCGCCACTAGAACTCAGTGAATGATACACCTTGTGCAGACTAAAGTTAATAGCAGTTGCAGCTCAAACACTTACACTAAGCTGATGAAATGATTCGCCCTCGAGTACAGCATAGGAGTGAGGCGATGAAGTCGCCGTCACCTATAACTTAGAGAGGAGTTACATAGTACACTGCCCACGCATTCAGCACCACAGTGAAAGTCGAACCATTTCTTGTTCAATTTGCTTGTTCAGCTAAGTAAACTTAAGTGTAACGGTTGCTGTTTCCTTAGCTGATAGCAAACCACCGTTTTGGGCTTGCTCGTTTCACTTCATCCCTAAAGACAGTATGCACCGGTAAGTCAGGTCAGATCCAATCAAAGGAACCCATAATCCCACACATATCGATCATTGTACCACTATAAAATGTCACCTCACTATTTGATAAGGCATAATTATTAGGAGCATAGCGTTCAGTGATTGAGAAATCCAAAGGTCCTCGACACCCTCACCGGTGTTGGCGAACATTGCTCAAGCAACCACCTGTTGCTCTCTAAAAACTAATCAGAACAGCCTTTGTCTTCATCAGCGAACGACAAGATGATCAGCCTAGTTGAGGGCACGGAACTAACGCTTCAAGGTAATTCAAGTTATGCAAATACATCAGATTATAAAGGTAAACAAAATATATACAGTGAAAATCAACCAGAGATATTTTGAATGTAAGGTTACCCCCTTCAGTTTATTCAGCTGAAAGTAGCAGTGTACCGGGAGCACCCATTAAAGGTCGCCTCAAGAATAGAATAACTGAAGGACTGACCAACTAACTGTCCCACTAACTTTCGAGAAATGCACTCGTTTGCAAGTCGATTTTGTTTCCACGAGAGACTCAACCGAATCTCTCGTCTATGATATTCCACAAGTGAATGTGCTGCACACGGGCACGATATTCGAAATAAAGTATATTTTCCTAAAAGGAACTACTCACGAGGTTGCTGAAAACTCTTCGACAAGTAGAACATAAGGTTGATGAAAACTCGGGGACTGCGCCTACCTGATGAGCCTAGGTAGGGCGAAACCGGTCGTGGTCTGTCGAAGCGTTTTCAACAACCTTGTGAATAGTTTCCTCAATGCCTCACTAACAGTTTGATTGACTGACTGGCTGACTGACCTACTTAGTAGATAACATTTGTTATATGATGTACGCGATGTGTTATATGCGCCATCAAATTTATAAAAATCTGGAATCATGTTCACGAACGGCGCAGTGGGATGGCTACCTCGGTCATGGATATCCAGTTTTACGTTAAAGTGAAGTGGGTTGTCAAAATCAGCTGAGGAACGACATTGGCGCGACAGAACATACATAAAGTTCGCGTGAGCGAACAAGCGGATAAGACTACAAATCTACCGAAAACTCACAGTTTAGTCGTCTCCGTCCATGTGTGCCCTGTCATTAGATCATCTCCATAAAGTTCGGCAAGCGGGATTAAAATTATATTAACATCAGCCTGAATTCCCTGATTTTCTAGCAACCAGTGAGACCGGCCCATAGAGGCGAAAAACTTATGCAGTTTAAACCAACCAGTGTGTTGTATGTCCTTCACTTGGTTGAACAGTTATGCAATTGTCCGTAAATTAAGATAATTTGTATCGCCGTTTACAGAGAGAAGCAAAAGGCATAAAATTGTCTCGTCCTAGTGGCAATCCTGAGCGAAAATGGAGCTGTATGAGCGCTACATACACGTCTATATTCAGTTTGCTTCCCAGAACCCAGAAAACTTCTCAGTTAACTAAGAGCTCCGGTAGACATGGGTGTCCAGCACACTCATCATTTGGGACATCAGTCCCTCAGCCAAAGTCAACTAAACCTCCTAAATTTCAATTGATATTCGAGTGGAATTCAATTTGAAGAAAATGTTTGGCCATAGGCTGTATTTTGATACACTTCGAGCACGGATTTAAATGACATTTACCAGCATTTTTGCTGAATTCAGCGTGGATACACTCTTCTATCTCTATGGAAATTGTATGTTCCAGATCTTAAGATATCCACTGCTCCTACAGCCTACGGCATCGGAGAAATGTGATCAAATTACCGGAAATCAGACTAATCTTTGCAACTCCCTAACAAAAACTGGTAGAAAAAATACGGTCGAATAAATATTCACTCTTTGCTGTTAATACGATAGTCCAAAGACGTCCCTGGAACAGTTTCGTGAACGAGAGAGCTGCGATCTTACTGCGTTGTGTAAGTATCGATCTACACGATGAATGACAAGTTAGCGAATGACACGATCGGCCCGCTTCGTTGACAGTTTGCATATCTGAAACTCCATGAGTTTAGTCTGCGCATCATCCACCGAATGTAAACACACGGTTTATGTCCAGGAAGCTCTCAGTCGGTTAATATCGGCCGGTTGCGTTGCGCGCTGATCCGCTGTGCAGTGGACGAGAACACTGGCATAAGATGCTGGCTGAATTTACTTTGCTGCAACTTACCTGTGATAAACTGAAAAATCAAGTTGGCACCTGTCGACCACCGTCTATTGTGTGCTTTATTGTAAACACCTCTATTTATCAGCGCATTCTTTTCTAACACAGATAAACTGGCCCGGTAATTTGGATAATATTTTTGGACAGCTTTATCTCTGCAATTTAGGTTTCAGTTAGGTGGCTGGAATAAAGGATTAGCTGTCGAATTTACCTAGACTGTACACCCAGTTCGTGTCAGACGAAGGTTAAGAGCGAGGATGATCCGCCAAATGTCAGTAAAAAAAGGGAGCTCACAGAAAATGGTGAACTGAATTTCTTAAATGAAAGACAAGGATTAGTTTTTCCTAATACCCTTGAATTATCACTTAGTTTCCAAAAGTTTTCTCAAAACGAAATACCAATTTCATCCGCTCCAAGGTTCGTAACAATTTAGATAATATTTCCATACTCTGTCAAACTCATGAGTTTCGAATCAGCACACATGACGCTCAGTAAGCCGTCATAGTTTCGCCCCTCGAATTTCTTGCTGTATATCTTTGTCCCCCACACCCATCTGATAATCATTCACCACCTCCCACCAAAATGTTACCCGGATATATCAGTAGTAAGAAACAATTGAGCAACGTGTAAAGTGCTTTGTGATAAAGTATGCGGTCATTTGTTTTGACGAAATCTGACAAATTGGGCAAAATAATTTTAGACAAAGTTAGAAAAGTGAACTTTTAGCCACGTAAGCACGCCGAACCTTCACAAATATATTTCAATCATGCCAAAGAATTTTGATTTCACTATAATCTACCTTGTAAGAAAGCTTATAACAGAACAGTCGTGATGAACAACGTAATGTGTCAGGAAAAATTATGCGTCCTACAGATACTTGGAAGAAAGACAAAACAGCAAGAGTAAACTGTTGAAGATCCGAAGTGGGTGTAGGCAACGATTCGGTCACAAACAGATCTAACGCACTATGTTGGACGAATTACCCTACTTGCGAAAATCGGCATTTTGAGTTGCTCGTCATATATGATACAAACAAAAGTAGAATTGACATGAAACATCACTTCAGGACGAACAAGTGACATGGGGACGGCTAGCCCCACCACTGCCGACGCGGCCTCCACTCCCGCTTCGTCCACCTTCAGAACGTTAGCCTGCTTCATAAGATTCACATAGAGCTTCTCGGCATTGGTTATTCCTGGAAACGCGCAGTATAAAATCAGGCATTTACAACTGACAGGACAACAAAATTGCAACACAGTACTCTTAAGCACATCAAACCGTAGGTGCACACCAACGGTATTCCCGAATGTCTTACTAATCATTCATAAGACCGCCTTCTTCAAGCGCTGATGCCTGAAAGTAAACTGACTGTTAGATTTTAAAGATGACCTAAAGACTCTTTTACTGGGTAGAGATCAACAAGTACTTTTCAAACACACTCTTGATTCAAGTCTACACACACGTTACTCAAGTTGTCCCACGTGGCATGCAAAATACATTCGCTGGCTTATAGGTGACAAATAAATGATAACTAATTCGGCGTTAATGAAAGCAAAGTAAACTGGTCTACAGCTAGGCTGAACAAACTGCAACATCCAGCTGTGAGAGCACACGTGGATGAAGATATATATGTATATATATAT